GCAGCTTGAGCAACCTGAGCAGCTTGAACTTGCGCTTGAACTTGTGCCTGAACTTGCGCTTGAACCTGAGCATCCACTTGAGCAACCTGAGCTTGTTGTGCAGCGTTGACCACGGCAACCACGACAGCAGCTTGAGCAGCTTGAGCGACTTGAACATGAGCGTGCACTCGAGCTTGTAATTGAGCATGCACATGAGCCTGAACCTCGGCCTCGGCAGCCGCCACAGCAGCAGCAGCTTTTGCCGCTTCTACATCCTGCGGTGTAGGTTGAGCCTGGACAGTGGCGACCGTCGACGGATCGTTATCTATCATCATGTGATCTATAAGCTGTTCCTGGTGTTTTTGTTGTTTTTGTTGTTGCTGCTGTTCTACGGCGATCTGCATCAAGGTTTGAGTGTGCACGGGAACAGGAACCGAAACAGGAACATTCAGAGGAGTGACTTGATCTATCGTATGTTGATGACCATTTATATCTATTATAGGGGAGGGAGTGACCATTTCATTTTGCCTCTCGACGTTTTCCATGCGATGGTCCATCAGTTGATTATACATTGTAGTGGTGTCAACGGCAGTCTGTGGTTCTTGCGGAGTTGATAACATCACCTGAGGAGCATCTGAAGTAGGAATGTTTGCTAATTGTGGCTGTTCTTGTTCTTGCTGTTGAGATGCTAGAATCATATTCGAAGATATCATGGAAACGCCAGGTGACACGCTCCCTATTGATACTGGAGGGGAATTTGAGGGTTCTGCAGGGTTCGTAGAAACGGGATTTATGACTAACATTGGTAATTGTTCTTGGTTAACTAACATTGCTATCTCCTGAGTGGGTGTCACGTCGTTCGTCCTGGTTGAAATCGGCGAAGACTGTGAAAGTGATGCGGTGGTGTTCAGCACCACCACCGGATTAGGTGAGTTCTCCATCAATAATATCTGAGTCTGGGAGTTCGACAGAGGGTCTAATGCGACGGTGCTATTACTTTGTTGCGTTGCACTTGTCATGCTTAAACCGTTTATGGGAGGATTGCTTGTCGTGTCTGCCGGAGTAATCGTTGCAGGAGACATTTGACCGTACTCAAAATTTTGTGATTCCATGAGTTTCCTCCTTCCTAAAGTCTACCACCGAAGCAGCGAGAAATTAAAAGGGATGTAAAAAAATAAAATAAAATAAAATCAAATCAAATAAAAATAAAGGAAAAAAAAAAAAAATAATGAACAGGAAAGAAAATGGTAAATTTGAAATGGAAACAAACAGACACTTGAACTTGGTGTGTTTGTAATGTTGAATTGATTGTCCCCAAAAAAAAAAGA